ATAGAACATATAAAAATCAGCTATAGGCTAATAAGTAACAAGAAAACAGGACCGAATAAAATCACTCAAAATGACTGTGGGCACTTGAAATGGGACGTTAAGCGACAATCTGTGTTATAGCAAAGCGCACTTTGCTGAAATGTGGAGGCTCTTGTACGACGCAGAATGGCTCTCAGTATGGGATTAGTTATCTGTGGATGAACGCTAGGAAGTGGTAAAAAATATCATTCATGCAGCAATCTCGGATACCGTCCCTTTAGTCACAACACAGTCCCAAAAACGTCATCATGGCTGAAGAGAGGTGCCCAGCGTATTCCACTGGTTAAGTGAGGGGCTTGGTTCACGTGGCGAGTTTCCAGGAGTCAGACCGACCACGATGCATACCTGGAACTCAGGAACCGGTGCAACGTGAGAGTCAGGAGTGACAGGAGGTCATTCTAGGCTAACCTTGCCAAAAACTCCTGGCAAACCCCAAAAACATGTATTGATTCATGTCGGAAAGAAAACCAACCGACTAGGGCCATGCTCCTCAGTAGGCCCAAATGGTCAATACCTTACTAGTCTGGAGGTGGCGGAAAAATTCAGTTTAGCCCTCGCCAAACATTAAACAGAAATGTGTGTATTACCGGTTCGGACCGAAATGTTGGCACTTCTAATTCACCGGAGGAAGATCTATTAGCTACTTCCCAAATAAACCCGGCAATAGTACTAAGGAAGCTACAGAGACTCAAATCTGGAAAGTCCCCAGCTTGTGACGACATCAGGCCATCTGTTCTGAAACATTGCGCCGAAGCTCTTTGTAGGCCCTTATGCGACTTGTTCTAACACTCGATGGATTCGGGGAAACTGCCAACTGATTGGAAAAGAGCCATCCTTTCTCTGATCTTCAAGAGTGAGGATAGGCAAAATGCCACTAGTTGTACACCAGTAGCTCCACCCTCAATGGTTTCAACTTAGGTACAGTTCTAACGGAACAAATGGACACAGGCGTAAGTTATACGGGGGACGTAGCGAGGGCATATGCGGTCATACACTCTACACATAGACAGTTAGGTACACTCACTCCTGAGCTATTTCTGAGGTTGTACAAAATATACGTCAGACCCCACCTTGAAGTGCACCCCCACTGCTTAGAAGAGGCGCCAACCTCTTGGAAGAGTCCAACGACGGGCAACAAAAAGAGTGACTGGTCTCCAAAACAACTCATATGATGAAAGGCTGAAGAAATTAGGCCTATTCACACTTAGCTACCGCCGTCTTAGGGGGGATTTAACTACTGTCTACAAGATAACAAGTGGCCAGTATCATCCAAACAAAGGTGTTCTGTCATTGAGTAGGTATAGGCTTCCTCGTGGAAATCCCAGAAGGATAGCTCACCAGAAGGCAAGGAACCGGGTGCGCTACCCTTTCTCCTCACTGAGGGTCTGCCGTCCCTGAAACTCCATACCGACAGATGTAGCTATGGCACCATCTGTGGACGCCTTTAAGCGAAGGCTGGACAATCATACAGCGACACAAGGACTGAGTTCAAATGGCCTATCCCCTTAAAATCCCATACACCATTCAGGGGTAGACAATTAAACTTGTCGTTTTTACTTCTTTACAATCTCTCTCGTCATACTATCCTGACAACTCTCACTACTACACTTGTTATTATTACTGATATAATATATATATCAACTTCAAATTTAATCAGCTGTCTGTTGTTAGGTTTTCTTTTTCTATCTTTTCGTCTGAATAACCACTAGTTATATATATTATTATTTTCTCTTTCATTTTGACGGAGGTACTGGAGGACTAACTGGTGAAAGGAACAACTCCATTCATAGTAGTAAAAGTAATAACACACCGCATACAACAAACAACATATAATTAATCTGAGCACTACTCCTTTTGGAGTCAACCAACAGTCGACAGTCGAGTGGCCGGACGAGGTACGCATAAGTTTACCGAAGATCAGGAACCGGCAGCTCTAAACAATAGGAACCCAAAACGAAACGACCTACGAATGCACAAATGACCTTGTCAAGGAAAAATCAGAAGGCTAAAAAAACGACAATACTCGTCACAGGCAGCACTAAGCGCTAGATAATCGGCAATAGTACACATGCCCTGCGCTTAGGGGTCGCCTCAATGTGTCCTTTCTGGAGGCTGGTGTCATTTATCCCGAAAACCTATTGCTGGAAAAACAGTCACCTGATTGGTTGCTCAAAGTCATTTGTGCGTTCGTAGATCGTTTCGTTTTTGGTTCCTATTGTTTAGAGTTGCCCAGGAACCTGTATCTCACAATCAAGAGGCAGGTACAAAAAAATCAAAATGGTTTGTACTAGCTCGTCAAGACGATATTGAATATTGGACCTTAATTCTTCATTTTCATTGGTCGCTATTTTCTGCGGTTATTTAATGGGATTTTGTGGCTCTTTTTGGCAATGGATAGGGGCACACACGGGGTGTCGTTATGTGTTATCGCGATGTTGTGTTTGGGTTGTTCTACGTTGTTTTCAGGTGTTTTATCAACTGAAATGCATTAGAAATAGCATATTTTAACGAAAAAACTTAGAAAAATGGTGGAAAGTCGACGTTTTTAAGCAGTTTGGGTGAACACGTATTTTTCATCAAATTTCGTCGTTTCTTTGCATGTGGAATGTCAAAATTCCTTGTAAATTGTTGATTACGTTAAGAAAGATGAAATAAATTAGGTAAATGAAGTATATTTTGCGAAATTCCTAGGTGGTGCTTTGAATCACTGAGTTCTTAAAACTTGATAACAGTCAGAAGAGTTTACAGCTATAAAGGAGTGTTAGTTGATTTATTCGGAACATAACACAGAAGAAACAAAGTTTTTACTGGGATTTCCTTTGCTTTTTAACAATTTTGTATTGGTAATTATTTGCTAACAGAAGTATCACTGTTGTTGGTTTTCAGGTTACAATTGCAATTTACGCGATGGTCCGCTTGATTTGGAAGCTTTGATGAAGTGTGATTGAAGAATTTTTGTGTTAACGTTGAAATCGTTGCGATATTATGAAATCATTCATTAAAATAAATATTTCTTAAAAGTTTTCACGGTATTCTTGTACTACTACTTCGTTTTTTTCGATGACCGTAGTCGTCCAGCAGACCATACAAACACATGTTTGACGATCTTTTCTTCTCAACACTAATGCATACTTATACTATGCGCAACCGGATTAAATGTAACCGAAACATTTTACGCGAGGCTTGATGACGCACTGAGGAAATAATAACGGCTTACGACTATGACGCATTTCATATATGTATTACTACGTTGCCTATCAATTTCGTTAACTATGCAATGTCCTCGAAATGATAAATAAGAGAGGTACAAGTAGTCGACATAAATGCATATATTTACAGAAGAACAACGGTCAAGCAGTACATTTTCACATTAAAAAGGGTTTATAACATTTCAGTGAAAAAATTACAGTTGTAGATTTTTTATGACTACATCATAGTCAAATTGAAGCCAACTAATCGTTTTATTCACAATATGTGGATCAGTTTCCCTCACATGATAGTGACACGACCCATCTTTACAGCTTCCAGCACCACCCGATCCTTCAGAAGAAACTGGTTGTGATCTTTCCACGCAGTGATCGAGATTGTATTCCTTCGACCACCTCCGGCCGCAGTGAGAAATATCTACGGATGTATACATATCAAGTGAATTAATCTTACCTTAGGTGAACAGTTCCTTATCTTAGCCACAATGAATATGTGAACAAGTGAGGGAACAATAGTATAATTAGTAAGATTGGTACATATATTCTATGACACATTTGAAGAATTATAGAACTTCCAATTTATCTTTCACAGTTTGCCTTTTGCAAAATGTATGTATTACACAACTGCCTCTCCTATCCGTCCATTACAACCAGCTGAAAAAAGACTAAATCTTCAAAATTTATACCTCTTTGATTATGTTACAGAATAATAGTATTTTTGTTAATGGATCCAATGCATGACACACCCGTAAAATTTCACATATGTTAACTTGTCCCATTAAGCTGAAAAATGTAGTGTTTATGCGATTATTATTATTATCATTTCAAAGCCCGCCTCAGTAACGTATGCTACGTATTAGCCGCAGCATTTACGCAAAGGCGAATCCACCAATCACAATATATATAAGTGACCTTGAAGTGCTCAGCCTTTCCATAAGGTCGTGTGTGCCTCTATCCATTGCCGCTCTTTTTTTAACGTCGATAATGTCATCCGGTACAAATCTTCTTATTTTGCCACCTCACCTAGTCGAAGAAGTTTTCTCTTACCTTACTTATGAGGAAGTTTCCAGATTACGCGAGGCAGGTTTCTGATGCTTAAACGTCATAATAAAATTTAGACATGTAAATATTTTAACGTCGTATGTCGTCGTATTCTAAACAAAGGATTTCGGGCCATAGAAGAAAAGTTCATCCGCTTTCATGCGAAACTTCGGTCTCTGTTGCCGCGGCGTGAATCCGAACGTAAAAGTCATCCTCTGAACAGGTCTGAATGAGAAGAATTCTAACTTTTTTCAGGCACTGTGAGGTATTATCCGCTGTCGAGACACGTATATCGCTTCTAAAAATGAGTATCATGCGATATGCAAATAAAGACAGGTGTTGCTTTTTTCCTGGAAAAGTGCTAGATGAGATGGAGAACATTTATCGGTCCATACAGTCAAACTTATCTGTCGAAATACGACCTTATGATATCTTGCATGAGCTCCGGGATATTTCGTCAATGGCAATGGAACATTTCGAAGAGAATATCCTACCATCTTTGCATACTGACCCAGACCTTGGTAAGATGCCTTTACGTAGTATGTATTCTTGGCATGAAAATACACACATCTTGATATCTTATTGATTTTTTGCTGCCAAAATGCTTTTAATACCTGAAGATAATTTTTAAGGGATCATTCACTTCGTGGTAATTCCCGCTTCTAGACCTCGCGATTTATTGACTTATTCCAATCATGGTAAATTAAAACCTATTGCTATTACCTGATCATTTTTAAAAATAGCGGAAAAACTGCTTTTACTTAACCTTGAAAGCTTCAAATAACCCTAAGCAATTTGCTTACAAACATGGTAAATTTATTTTAGATGACACTTGTTTTATATCATAATATTGTCTCTAGTTTGGACAGAGGTGCCAACTATTTTTGGTGATTGCGCATCTTTCATTTCACTCTGTACTTAAGCCTCTTTTGTTAGACAAGCTTGCAGCGACACCAGGCGGGTGCATTCTTACTTTTCTGACAAGAAACAGTACACTGTACATAGTGGGAAGTTTCCCAATGCTTTATTTATTCTAGCCGGTGCTGTTCTTCCTCCCACACTATCAAAAGTACTTTTTGGAATGAAGCCATTATTATTACTGTTTGTACGGTGAATGCCTAATCTATATTGAGGTTAGCCAGTAGGTGGTTCAGGAATTACGTACTTGTACTGATATTATAACATTTCATGTCAGAAATGAATCTCCGGATGTAGACTATCCGACTATGGCTTTCGAACCTGTGCATAACTATATTTTTGCCTATAGTGCTATCCAGGGGCTATTTCTTACATCAAGTTTGTTTGTTACAGTAAGTTGACAGGAATGGTTAACCCGGGAACAAAATGCAGACATATCTGAAACTGCTAAGTTGCTTTGTTTCCTTCAATACCTATGCTTTCTCCTACAACTTTCCGAGCATTAAATCTGTTCATTTAAATAGATGGTGGCAGAAAATAAATGATCACATAGTGGATGGATACTGTAGCTTTCGAGTGTTGTTACTATTCATTATATGCCTTTCCTCCAGTGTGTTGATTTCGCCTTAGTATACTACCTCAGTTTTTAGTTCACAGTCTTGCTGCAACCTTTTAAACTGATTATTACCATTACTTAGAGGCGGTTATACAGCCGCGAACCTACCATTCAATTATAGAACGGTAGTATTGTTTAACTGATTAATCGATTTTTCATTGTAAGGCTGCATGTTAATGTTCTATTTTACCCGAAAGTATTTGGCCAATTAAGCCAACGGTATTTCCTCAGTATCTTCGATAGAAGTACGTTAGTAGCTTGATTTTAGTTCTGGGACCTGATTAGAAGGAGTGGAATCACTTAACCATTCCTAGTGTGACTTCACATAAGCAGGTAGGACTGATAAGAACGTATCGTATTTAGTCCGTCCATTGTCAATTCACTAGCACTTTAATTCACTTGTACCATCACGAAATACACTCGTTTATTCATCAATAAAGAAAAAACAGTTTTTGTTCAGCGGTGAAAGTTTTTTTCTCAACAGTTCCATTTTCATATAGTAAACTTATAATTTTGTAATTCATCTACTTCAATTCTACTCCGTTATTGTATTATTATTATTATTTTATTCTGAGTGGAACATAGGGCCTGAAGCTTCAGCTTTGAAGTTTCAGTAGCAGTGGCTTTTGTTTTTTACGGGGTGTAGTCGCTAGCCTCACTCCTCACCTTCATTCTTCTTTGTCCGGTCCATATCAGGCTGGGGGGGAGGTAACAGTGCCTACCGACTGTGAATCTAACCCTGAACCATGTGCATAGTTAGCAGGCATTCTACACCTGAACCACCGATGCACCTCTACTCTCTTAATTATCGTTATTCTTATAATATGCCTATTGATTAAACCACTTTGTGCCTTTTCAGTTCAGTCATATAAATAATACAGTACAGATTGAAAATGAAGTCGTTGAAAAGAAGTATTTCCTCGCTAAACAAAAGCTGTTTTTCCTTATTACTTCTGCAATCCTTGTAATTGCCATCCGGCGAAGTAATCTGTATTCAAGTGTTGGTAATCTGTTTCGGATTAAACAGGTACAAAGTTAATGACATCAGTTGTTTGAGTGTTTATAGGAAAAATTATTATTAATCAACTTAAATCACTATAATTTGGTGGTTTTCAATAGATAAGAACCACTTGTCACAAGTCTTCCTCATACTTATGAATTATCCGTATGAACTGGGAGGTGGTAGCGCATGTCTTCAGCTCGTTGTGATGAATGCATTTTACAATATCGGATATCAATATGTGAGGAAGTCAACATTGTTTATTGAGTTCATTTGCTTTAGCAGTGTTTTATGGCGTACGTTTCCTTTTGTTATTATAGCTTTAAGATATCAGAAGGCGGTTCCTGTGTTTATCTAATCGTTTTTTATATGCTAGTCGTATTTGTATTGTTTACATACACAAAACTTATTGAATGGTATGCGGTCGAACTGGTGATTAAATATTCAAGTGTTCAGGTTAAATCAAAGACTGACATCAGTCAGAAAACCACTAATTATGAAGGAGTACTGGGCAGAGGTTTTGTTCCAATTTATTACTCTTCAACATTACGCACCCATGACGCCACGGGACATGAAACCCAGGACCTTCATGTTATTGGGTGAGCCTATGGATCATTCAACCAATATGACCACATCCAGTGATCTATGAATTCCAACTGAGTGTTGGATTTCCAAATCGAAATAGTATCTCGTTCAGCTCCTACAGACTTTAAATCACAATTAGTCGAAGATTTTATATTCACGTCTTTTTTAAATTTCATATGACTGACTACATTAGTGTTTGGTTGATTGTAGGTAATTCTTCGTTACCATTGGAACCTGGAGTTTTTTCTTTTACCGAAACTCGTGGTCATGTACCAACTGACGAACTTCGTGCAGTTACAGCTTTCCAAAGACAGCGATTAAATCAGTTGGTTCAACAATCTTGTCAGTCTTCAAACTCGGTAAGTTCCATCCCCCTATAACTGCTGTCATCTCCATCATATTCACTTGTACTAGGAGCTATGTTTTTTGTCCTGGGATTCTAAACGTCAGTGTCAATGTCTTCACTGATGATTAAAATATATATATTTAACGGGAACAGTTGATCTCAGAAGTAGTGAATCTAGCCAACGGTTCATAAAACGTTTTTGTAAAGTACAAAAACACTTGGAATGTGTAATGTTCACGTGCTTTGAAAAAAATCTAGAAATTCTTCAGTTATAAATTATGTCTATAAAGACAATGTATATGACAAGAGTTAACCGCTGCCTCAATATCCTTCCTTTGTAGACCGATTAGCCGTAACTCTTACCTACGAAGGCATAATTTGCTATAGTCAGTGGAGCGTGGATGATGCGATGAATTTCAAATTATCGGTTAAACTAATAAAGGAATCTATAATCAACTGTTAAAAAATTCAAAATGATTGAGCAGAGAATATCCTATTCGATAAATTCCTCTTCTGGCTCTACAATTGTATATATATATATATATATATATATATAGAATATTCTAGATTAGTAGTCAATAGCAATATTAGTGTTTTTTAAATAATATGGATTTGTATAGTAAGATCAATGCAATCACAGTTCATTAAAGATGTTTAGCGTCGGTGGCATAGCGGTTAGGACGCTCACCGACTATGCACATGGTCCGGGGTTCGATCCCCGGCCGGCGCACTCCTGTACCTCACTAAGCCAGAAATAAAACTGGTGAAGAGGAAAGGTTGGGCATGAGGCTAGCAAACCCATCCTGTAAAACTAAACACCTCTACAGAAACTTCAAGCTGCTAGCTTGAAGCCATATGTTCCACTGGGAACCTGAAGGAATAAAAAATGCTTAAATTATAATAGTAACGAAGATATAGTAGCAAATAGAATATCAACTAAAATTAGAAAAATTCCACAAAAATTCAGGGTCATTCAAACCTAGATGGCCAAGGTAAGAATAATGTCTGAACTAACTTCTTTTGGATGCACAAATTAAGCTTATTAATATGGATCCCAACAGCAATATTTAGTAGTCGAACTCTTAAGGCGAAATTGAGATTTGTTGGTATGCGGTAAATAACCCTGAAAGCATGATTAACATCAATCTTGTGTTCTGTATCCACGAGGTGAGATAGAATAGCGCTGCGAATAGATGTTTCTTGTCCTTTACTTAACCACACAGGGTGATGTTCAGAAAGTCGACAAGAAACACGCCTAATTGTATACGGCCTTTGTAACTGGCTCCACAGGAGAAGTTTTGTTGGTAAATTGTCGTGTTTGCTGTATTCATTCAACATTACTTTTTGTGGTGACTAGCTAACGATGAGGAAGGTATATGTGATAATAGCTCTATTCCAAACAGTACTTCTTATACAAATATGGAATTTTCAACATGTTATACAGTATTGCATCTAATTTTCTCATTACAAGGACAATAATTAGATTAGATTAATAATATTGTTCAATAAGCAGTGAATATAAAATTTAATCAAGTGAAAATATTAACGGCAATGTAAGAATGAGAACAGAAAAAAGAAATGCCGTTTACTTAGTGTTTCTCAGTAAGTTTTTAGTGTCATATCTCACACTTTTCTCAACACATAAAATGTGTACCAAAAAATAAGGTATTTCGGTTTTTCTGTACTTAGTCGTTTGAGCATAAAGTCTTCCATAGTTGATTCTAATCCTCTGGAGACAATAGGTGACATGGCTCAAAATCGTTGTCAATGGCGCAGATGTATTCAGTCTCTGTAATCTTTCATATTCCTTTCTACCATTACTCATTCTGTTTCACTCTTATACTTGTCAAAACTCTATTGATTCTCTTCACTCATTTTCTTGTCTACCTTTGTGTGCTATTTGGAACGTGGCAACTCGAACTGCTGCACTTCAGTGCCAAGTTCTATGTTGAATCCAACCAGTCAGCCAGCTTCTAGTCCTACCTGATGATGAGATGCAAGGAGAGAGTTGTGTGCAGATAGAATGCTCAGAGTCCCACAAGGTATTTTCTAATTTCTTGAATGAGTCCATGTGTCTATCTACAATGGTATTCACGAATTGATTTAGCGACATCCCACTCACACTACTGACAGCTTTTACTGCCCCTCACTAGGTAACAAAGTCTTTCTTAAGTATTCTAGGAAAGATTAAGAGGAAGCAAGAAAGAAGAATAGGTAGGGTACATGAATTAAAAAAGTGTAAAAGTAGAGATACTAGATTGTCTTAACTTCCTTGAGTAGAACTTTAAACGAAATACCTTTATACAGACTAACATTATGTGGAAAGACCAGGAAAGATTAGAGGAAATACACGATCCGAGGTATTTAACATTCGACTAAGTTTCAGCTTTACTGCTATCGATGATACTAGAATCATGGGTACAAACTAGTTCATGTAAGTCGCTCTTTTACCTGAAAGTGAGGTAAACAACCTGACATCTGGAGGGATGTAGCTTAAGACCATTTGACGAAGACTACTGACTAATTTCTGATAAAATGTTATTCATTTTGGTATAGTCTGTTTTTGAGAAGTAACCGGAATGGAAACCGTCAGATTAGCACACTTGTTAAAATTGGCTTCAATGGGGCAAGTCATGTATGAAGAAGGAAAACAGAAAAAACATAATCACTGATTCTTCCGCGTAATGAAAAGAGTACGAACTTCAGGGTTTAGATTGGTGGAGTTGTGAAATGTTGACGAGCAGAATGCATAGATGACAGCATAAAAGCAACCATGAAAGACCACTGTCATTTAGTTAAATTTTTTCTAGTCATCATTGGTTGCTTGTTCTGTATTATTTTTATTCTGTGAACTTATCTTTATTGTGACAAAAGTTTTGCTTCTCAGATTTGAAATAAACTTTCTTTCTTCGATTACAGCTTGATTCCACACCGTATTTTTTGGTACAGGTATGGAATTCTCAGCATGTGATATCGGTAGCCCAAATTTTGCAGGCTGACCATAGATATCAGGTGTGTGTCGGCAGGGGATCGAACGCCGGACCATGTGCATATATATATATATATATATATATATATATATATACTGAGTTTAATTCACGTTGATGCACACTTTTAACACTTATGTTAACTAATTGTTTGTTATTTAGGAGGATGTTTGTTATCAGGATTCAGAAACAACCAGTTCTAAAGATATTCAGCTTAATCACAGCATAATTTGTGATGTGAAGCGTCAAGCTATGTACACATCTCGTATTAATAAATTGAGTCGTACAGTCTACCATTTGTTGTGTGGACAACGGGAACTAATTCAAAAGAACAGACTATTGGTTTCATTGATAAATAAACAAAATCAAAGGTTAGTTGTTTTTAGCAAATTATTATTTTAACTTCTTTCTAATTATATAATGTGTTTGTTTTAAGTTTTTAATTTCTAGATGAGCAGTCTTCTGAACACCTTGAGCTGCAATCTACGAATGTTTGGCATGCGATTCGCTCTTGCCAAATGCAAGATGATGTTACAGGATTGGACTACACCGACTCCTAGATTAGAAATAGGAAGTGAAGTGGTAGAGCACGTTGACTGCTTCACTTACTTGGGAAGTACCATCAGCCCCAACGGGTTGATCTCTGACGAAATCTCAGCATGGATACAGAGGGCTAGTTTCGCATATGCCAGTTTACGCCGTCTTTGGCGTAGACGTGATATCCGACTATCGACCAAAGGACGTGTGTACTACTCAGCAGTCTGCTCCGTCCTCCTTTATGGCTATAAGACCTGGCCTTCGAGAGTGGAAGACATGAAAAGATTAGCTGTCTTTGATCATAGATGTCTGCGTTCTATCTCCCGTATGAAGTGGCATAATAAGGTGAGCAATATTGAGGTTAGGCGTCGAGTGCTAGGTAAGGAGGGTGGGGAAATCAACTGACGAGGCTGTCAAATTAAATCGACTGAGATGGTTAGGACATGTGTTACATATGCCTAGTCATCGCCTTCCTCGACTGACCGGCAACGTTAGCTTATATAGGGTCAGGCTGGAAAAGAGCTAGCGGCGGTCAAACCGAAACATGGCACCAGTCAATGAAATCTACAACAGTTAGTCTAGGCCACGTAGGAAGGTGTAGACTTCCTGACCGGTTGGCGTCCTCGGGATGGTAAAAACCAATGGTTGGAAACAATTGGTGACATGGCTCAAAATCGTTCTCAATGATGGCGCAGATGCATCCACTCCTTGTGACTTATGATTTCCAATGAAACTGTTTTGTTCTTCGTTATTACTATTCCTTTGTCTCACACGTCTGTTTACTGTCTATATTATGAATTTCTCCTACTTTCTTCTCTTCCTTTGTGTACTACATGGAGTGTGGTGACTTGAACTGCCACATATCTGTGCAAAGTTCTTTGTCGAAAACAGAGATAAGCAGTGTGTTTATTTTAATTTTAAGTTAAGAAATTATATATCAAGAGCACTTAGATTGGGATTTAAAACACTAACTTACTTTTTATATAAGTCGACTCATATAATTAACCTATACAATTTCAATTTATACACTCTTGGTATTTAAATGTTATCGTTTTCTGTAATACAATATATATATATATATATATATATATATATATATATATATATATATTCAAATTCTACGTCATTGTCGATGTGCCTTCCAAAAACCGTTATTGGTGCATACATGTACATGTAATTCCTCTCTCTCTCTCTCTCACTCCTATCCAATTTATATGTGACAGTTTATCCTTCATTTAGTAACGTCACTTTTTTTGTCTACACACAGGTTTCTATAAATTTGGTTAAATATTATTATGACATTTAATTCATGAAGTGGGACTGAATTTTCGTTGTAGAATTTTGTTTACTCTAAAGTACAGTAGAGGTGTGAAGTTAACAACACACATTTACTATAATGCAAACAGAAAGGTAGAGAAAAAGAGTATAATGAGACACTACAATGAACAAAAATGTACAGGAGAAAAATATTCACCCTAAACACTAAGACTGTATAAATACTGTGAAATTTGAATCTGCTATTACTTGATTGAGATTTAACTGTTTAATCCAGTGGGTAAAGATATGAAACGGTTAGCTTGTCTCTCTGACCACAGATGTGTTTGTGTTCTATATTCCGTAGTGAGTAATATTCAGGTTAGGCGTGTAGAGTGTTAGGTAAAGTGGGCCGGGGGGGGGGCGTAAATTAGTCAATCAAGTTGTGAAGCTACATCCACTGAGATGACTAAGATACGTGTCTGTCATGCTCTACCATCGGGTTTCTAAGCGAATAATGTTAGCCGACACTGGATTAGTTTGAAAAAGAGTTAGAGATGGTCATACCAGAACCTGAGATCAGTTCGTCGAGTCCTTGACTGTCCGTTTGAGCCACATAGGGAGGTTTGGACTGCGCGCGGTTGGAGACTACTGATATGGTTCCCGGCCGACAACTGTTACCTTGTCGTGGTGGTCGGGCTTGAATACTACAGTGATCCAACAAGCCAAACTGGCTGCGACTCATGTCCCTGCAGGTCCTACCATGTCAGGAAGGTTGTTTGAATAGCGGTTAGACTGAGAGCAGTTACTATGGGGTACATGGGTTCCAGAATCCAATCGAATCAAATGGGGATATGAACCTGTATTGGTCACCGGCAACCATGGGAACGTAGCTCCTGACGCTGCTCCACTACCTTGCGGGGGTGGTCCCTTAGAACAACCACCTGCTTCGGTCTGGGCGCCCAGGCAGTATCTCAGTCCTCACACAATCACAATCAACTCATATGGTTCAGAATTGTTCTCAATCGCACGGATGTAGATTGACTCTTTGTGATCTCCCAGATCCATTAAACTCTAATGTCTTTCCATATTACTACTTTTTGTTGCCTACATTTCAGTTCACTATAGTTCTTTTGAATACCTTTTTTGTCTGTCTGTCTGTCTATGTATCTCTCCTCTATCTTTGTTTGCTATGTAAAGAGTTCAGCAACTTGCAAATCTCCTTCAAGTATAAAATCCTGTGTTTTTGTAAGAGAATGTATGAGCTTATAGTGTGTTCGATCATAATGAATATTCCTTAATCTACAGGAGCACTTTCCTGCTAAGAACTAACGTGTACAAGATTTTGAAAACAGTCTGTTTATACTTTTCGACAGAGTACTTTTCGAAGTGTTTATAAAGTCGATTTTAGGTCTTTTAATGTTATTATTAATAATCACATTATTATTATTATTCAGAATTCAGCATTTGGAAACTGTTTGCGGTATCAGTCCGACAGACAGGGAACTTGAAGTGGAGTCACTTTCATTGCCATCTTCAACACCAACTATTTGTGATTCGTCTTCGCTTACTACTACCTGTGGTCAGTCAACCATGAAGTGCAATTCAAACAACTCTTCAAAATGTCTGGGGAAAAGAAAACGAACAGATGAAGATATTATAAATTATAGTAGTAATGATGATGATGATATTCATCTTGGTGAAAATAACATTCAGCATGTTTCACCCTCGAAAATGCCATGTCCATCAGAAATCGAATGAAGTATGTAACGTGAACATGAACATATCAAGTTTTCCAAAGTCATACTTACTTAGAAAAAGGGTCTGTCTCACTGAGTGAGATGGCTGGCTGCTTTACTTCAACTTGACACGCTTGTTTTATCCTGAAAATATATGTATTTATTTTATCTTCATTCAATATTGATAGCTTACCGTTTCTCATGTATGTACATACTACTTATTGCTTATTTTTCAATTCATTTTTAGCGTTATTTTGCTCATGTATATAGAATTCTGATTTAAATTTGCATTTTGAATAACAGAGTTGAATAACAGTTTCTACAATGACTTTTTTTTAGACATGAAACGATTAGCTGTCTTTGATCATAGGTGTCTGCGTTCTATCTCCCGTGTGAAGTGGTGAGCAATATTGAGGTTAGGCACCGGTGGATTGCTAGGTTAGGAGGGGAAATCAATCGACGAGGCTGTGAAATTACATCGACTGAGATGGTTAGGACATGTGTTACGTATGCCTAGTCATCGCCTTCCTCGACAATGGGCAATGTTAGCTGATATAGGATTGGTCAGGCTGGAAAAGAGCTAGCGGCGGTCAAACCGAAACATGGCACCAGTCAATGAAATCCACAACAGTTAGTCTAAGCCACGTAGGAAGGTGTAGACTTCCTGACCGGTTGGCGTCCTCGGGATGGTAAAAACCAATGGTTGGAAACAATTGGTGACATGGCTCAAAATCGTTCTCAATGATGGCGCAGATGCATCCACTCCTTGTGACTTATAATTTCCAATGAAATTGTTTTGTTCTTCGTTATTACTATTCCTTTGTCTCACACCTCTGTTTACTGTCTATATTATGAATTTCTCCTACTTTCTTCTCTTGCTTTGTGTGCTACATGGAGTGTGGCGACTTGAACTGCCGCACACATGTGCAAAGTTCTCTGTCGAAAACAGACAGACAGACAATGACTTTTAGACAAAGCAATAAGATGACTAAATAAATTATACTTATATTTCAATGGTTTACACACAATGATAAGTTTTTGGTTTTAAGAAGACGTAATTTGTCTGAATCCTGTGTAATGTATTTGAGCAACACATTTCGAACAATCTGATCACACAGGAACTTGTCATAGGAATATATATATATATATATGAAATTAATTAATAAAGAGTTAAGATGTGAGAAATTAAATTGAGGTCAAGTTAAAAGGACATATTGAAGGTCGAAATAACAATGAAGATCGCTAAACAAAGTAACAGAGGTAGTAGTACAACTGCCCTGACTGGTATCAAAACAAAGTTTACTAAGGAGCGTTTAGTGTGATTAATTGTTGCTTTGAACACATAAAGGTGGTTTAAACTTTCCAATTGCTAAGGCTTCCACAAACTTTAGGATACGCCCCAAACATGTTTTATAGATAGGTTTAAAAGATGCGTTAACGTCAATTTTATGTTCTGTCTCTATAATATGTTTCGCACTGCAGGAGCTAGGTCTTCTGTTCTCGTGATTAATGGGTTCTGAAGATTCTACCTACTTCTGGAGCCATTTAGGAATATGCTCTGAAGCCCTTACTTGCAGAGATCGATGAGTTCTCCCTATGTATGTGTGGCCACATGTACATTCAAATTGGTAAATTTTTAGAAAGAACATGACAGAGATTTGAAAATTCTAGGATTTTTATAAGTCGTACGTTTTAGAGAAGAAAAATAGAAATTATTAACCTTAGATAATCAAATGTACAAAAGATGAGGTATTTTTACTGGACAGGTGTTTTTGTAAAAGTAATCATTAAACTGGGAAGAGTCAGTGTTGTGTAACTGCTGAACAGGAAGAAGTAAGTTTTTCCCAAACGAAATCAGTAGAGATTGGACATGGCGAATAAAGACACCCGCACAACTTATGGAGAAGTGTTTTTCACTCTGTCGAGATCGATTGTCCAGTTATATATTTGATGATAAATTTATGTGATTTCACACAATGATAGAGTACTAATGACTGGATAACATTTCAAGCTCAAGGAATTAAAAGTATCAGTAGTGCTACCATCTATAAAAGAGGAGTATCAGAGGGTTCTACGAAGGATTCCCTATTAGGCTAGAATTATGGTGACATTTAAACTAACCAACTCACTCGGAGACAAACTTTGCCAGTTTTACAGACCTGAGAGATCCAATTAAAAAAAATATAATTTGATAAATACCATATGTAGACTGAAAGGTCAGTTACATAGATCGGGATCATTTAGATGATTGGAAAATATAAATGCAGCTAGGGTTAAAATAATTGACCTTGCTATCTGAAATAATCTAGAAAAAAAGTTTGATCATTGCAATCCATTCACTTGCATCTAACCACAGTAGGATGATGTGAAGTAAGGTTATTAAAAAGTAATATAGTTAGGTGAAGAGAGAGGCTAACCATCTGAATCTTTGTTTATCGAATCAACATTTTTGAACACATAACCGAAATGAAGTAACGCCTATGCCGACTATACGGAAGATTGCAATGAACAACAAGGCAGGGAGAAAACATAAATAAAGCAAATTATGAGATCGTATGAATAACGTGTAATGATTATAAGTAATAAATTGTGCCGGAGGCATTAAGTGGCTGACCAGTGTCATATGATTTACAATTTATAGTCTTTAAAGTAGAGTACTTATTAGGTGGATTGCATACTCAACTACATGAAATATATGCGACAATTTATTCCGGTGCCTCTACATGTGTGGGATCTCACAGATAGGGAATGTCTTTTGTTTATCTTTCCGGTTAAATTTTTCAAGTACTAAATCGACGTGCTTTGACGCAGACTGAATAGGTTTCTAATTTTTTTCTCCTGAAAATGCACTACTGAATCTTATGAAATGAAACTACTCAGACATAAGGTTAACGTCGGCAACTTGCTCATAATAGTATTTGGTAACTCGATGTACAGAGCTGTAAAGTATATATATATATATATATATATATATATATATATATATATATATAGTGCGTCGGTGGCTTAGCGGTAGCGTGCTCACCAACCACGCAAGTGGTCCGGCGTCGGATCCCCGGCCGATGCATTGCTTTACCTCGCTAAGCCAGTGATGAGACTGGTAAAGGGGGAAGGTTGGGGATGAGGCTAGCAACCTGATCCCGTAAAAAATAAACACCACCGCTACCGAAATTACAAGCCTTTAGCCTGAAGCTCTATGTTCCACTGGGAACGTAAAGGAATAGAGTTTATATATATATATATATATATATTTGATTGCACACTAGTCAGTAACTAGTGTAATGCGTCTAGTCCTATCTTCGGTGCAGACTGAATTCTATCAGTCATGTTTGCAATGTGGCCACCATGCTAGGTAGCTTGCCATTACGGTGCACTGTGAATTGTTGGTATTAGATGGTTGGAGGCAATCGGCAGGAAGCCTTGGACCTAGGTTTCGTGCAAACATGACTGATAGAATTCAGTCTGCACCGAAGATAGGACTAGATGAATTACACTAGTTACTGACTAGTGTGCAATCAAAAATATCCAATACAGTCCTACAGGAGGTCAGTTGCGAGCCTGAATAGCTCAGTGGTAACGTCTCTGACTGCAGTACTCACTGGGGGACGCGGGTTCGAATCTCAGAAGGGACATTAGTTCCTTCAAAGTTGCAGATACGCCTTGCTGATGAGTGCCAACTAGCACGAAACCTAGGTCCAAGGCTTCCTGCCGATTGCCTCCAAACATCTAATATATATATATATATAATCTAGAGGGTGATGACTAAGTGTAAATTAGGGAAAGGGACATTAGTGTGAAAAATAACTCATCAATCTAAATGGACAAATCTAGTGGAATGACGGTAAAGTGTTTATATAAAATCCGTAAGAGAAGTGCACTGTGGTAAGAAAATCACTCTGTCTACGGTAAGTTGGTGTAGCGCTTTTGAAAACAGAGGTACAGTCTGGCCAATCATCATTTGGCTACATATAAATGGCGGAGTGAAAATAATGGTGACATTGTTTACAAAAACAACCGCGGCAAATTACTTACATTGGCACTTCAAAAGTAATGAATAGTATCTATAGTGCATTTTGTAGATATTCTGGAATAAACGTGTACAGCACAAAAAGAATGAAGGTAAACGACATGTTGCTAGGCCATTCAAACACATCAGAATGAATGTCTTTGAATACTAGCTCACTCATAATCCTGTATTTAGAATGACTTAGCAAAATGTTGTTTATTGTAAGCCCATAAAATTGGTCGGTATGTTGCGCGTAATACTGACAGGATTTATAAGTAGTATGTAGATGCAGATATAAATAATATGTATATCATCTGTAAAAATATCGAATAGTGGAGAGATGGATTTAATGGCGAAGAAAAGAAATGAACGATGCTTGTGAAACCACATGGCAAGAAGACCAATGTGCACAATGCCAAAGATATATGCATATTGCAACTCCGATATGTGGACGTATTTCGTGTATATCTGTTCCGTTGCGATATATCTATAAGTAGATATTTTTTTGCCACTTGCCTTATGATGATATTCTTAGCCCAGTTTGCTTGAAATAATGGAGAAGATTTGTAGCTCAGGTGGATGACATTGAATTAGTTGTGTTCTCCGAGCTTAATTGCGAAGCTTTCATCATCCTTCTAGACAACATCCTCAGCGCAGATTTTAGTATAAAATGAACTCATTCAATTTCCCCAACAATCATGTAATTGTATATCCCGGTGACCACTGTCGTGACTGGTTGTTAATTTACGTCTCTATTGATCATTTTTATTGACTTGGAATTTGAACTTTCTTGCCATGTGATTTAATTTTTATTATCTGGTAAATTTAGTCCATAGTAATGTGTTTGTTAATTGCTAATTCACATTGTTTAAAAGAGTTCAAACACACTGTAGCACTCAGGTGTTGAATAGAATGGGGGAAAAATACCTTCTAATCGTCTTCAAAAAGAATGCATATCCTCACAATTTCATCAAAAAGTGTTTAAGCTCAATTCGTAACACCAACATCAAGTAACACAAAAAAATTCATCCTACCATATATGAAAAAATATCCCAGAAATGAACGAACATATTTGCAGGATAATACGAGCTCGTTTTATTTCGTGGATTCTCACCAACTGCATACATCCTAAACAAAATCAAATTATAGGTTTCAAGAAAGTTGTGGAACATACTTTTTCATAAATACTTTGAGTTATAGATAGAAGGCATAAGGAACATAATTCCAGAAATTGATGTAGGTATACAGATTATTCGGTGTCAAAAAACAACTAATTATATATAGTGGAATTGGATAAGAGGGGTAAGAGTTCAG